GAGAGCAATATCGTTGCGCTCTTTTGTCTCGTAGAATGGTGGGGCGGGCACACACACATATGCTGCATATCACATGGATGTGCGCCCGCTTAAAAATCACTCCCCATTGGCCCACCCTTAATTGCCAATAACTTTTTAGGGGTGAGTCTGATCAAAAAGTGCAAGAGGACTTTTCTGCTCAGAATCACCCCCTGATCCTAGGGTGTTCAGATGTACATGTACTTCTGAAACACCCTGTATATTTCAAGAATGTAAATACATTCTGAATACATTCGGGAAGAGTCTTCCAGGGATATCTGGATGAGACTATAGAACAATCGAAATAGCTACATAGTACGTACATGCGATATGTATTCGTACATGTCCATTACGTATCGAAGTACAATTTTTCCGGCGTTATCTGTACATTCCATTGACGTTTCAGTGGTGCGTTTTACGTACGCTTTGTGCAATGTGTATCAATCGTGAATTCACCGTCATCTATCGAGATGCGTAATATGATATGTTCAGTGTACGTTTCATATAATGTTTTTCGAATATTCATCGCAAACCTTCTATGGAGGTAACCTCTAGATACATATCCGAATCGTTTTTTAAAAACGTATATAAATTGTCCGATAAATACCTAATAAAGTGCAATCTGTCGAAGCTGATGGGGTCACATCGATTGAGGTATATTTATTATGTGAATGAAGGAAATCATATTTGTAAATCCAGGATAGTTTTATTTGTGAAAAATGTTGGTTACACTATACGGCTAAAAACAATAATATTAAATAAACCTTAAGAAACAGAGGTAAGTATAAAAACACGGGAATCTATTTTGTTTTTTTTTGTGTTTTGACTTTTTGGTCTTATATGATATTAAATCGGCACATGTGTAATATCTATATATTATAAATTATTACTGTTGGAGCAGTGAAAATAGGGTAACATTTGAGGCCCTTTTGTTCTGATACTTTTCATGAATTTTTTATCGGGCTAAAAGTGAAAAATTTCTTGTGTTGTTTCAATTTTTTACGATCAAATATGCTATTCTCCATATTTTTGAACTGGGTCATTGAGACCAACCGGGAATTGATATAAATATAAATTATATAATAAAATAATGACGTCGATCTTACGGAATGATTTAATTGAATAATGCTATCAGATTTTGGAGAAGTGAATTTTTAGCAAGAATGTACTTAAAGTTATGATCGAAATACCACTCTCATCGTCAGCAAATCATAATTGGTAATTTGTGGGATGCCCCCTAATTTTCAATGTATTAACTACTTCTACTAAATTTTTCCACGCATGGGTGCTAATTTCTACGAATGTTTTGTCTGTCAGAATACTAAGAAAAAAAAAGATGACTGAAGATTGGTTAAAAACAAAGAGAATGTTATCATAACAGTTCTGTTGTGGCACACAAAACAAACCACAATAAGCCCCCAGATCGGTAGATCCGCGTATTATTACAATTATAATTTTGATTTGATAAATTACCACCATTTTTTTAAAATAAATTGCCTTAAGCCCCGGATGGAGTGGTGTTATTTGAGCAAACGTAGATTTGTGTTTACGAAGTCAAAAGTGGTTCAATTGTCCAAAACTCAGTTTAGCACCATAGTTCTGCATTGTCTGTTGGGCGCTATACTGAGTTTTTGACAATTGAACCACTTTTGACTTCGTAAACACGAATCTACGTTTTCTCAAGTAACGCCACTCCACCCAGGCCTTAAGAGGGTTTTTTCAACGATCTTCCAGATTGTGAAGTGGACATTCATACACGAATAGCATAATTTTTGGTATTATAGGTTGTAAAAAAATTTCCAATTCTATCGGAATTCATGTATTACAATTTTTATTTAGATTATGAATAACGTATAATTGGTGGTTTTTTCCTATAACTCTGCGCCATCCAAGTACTGACCTCAAATATTTCCGTCGTATTGTCAATTGAATTGAATGATTATGCATGTATCTAGTGCATGTCTCACCATATAATAATTTTTTATCTAAATTGGGCTCTTCATAGCTTAAAAGGGGACAAGAAGCTATTATTTATGAGAAGTACAGATTAGAATTGGTCTGAATAATGTATTTTCCATCATTGCATAACAAGGACCAATAATTTTCAATTCCAACGCTGGGCCCGGTGAAACCAATTGTGTTTATCATAATTATAATGTTCAGTATAGTAAGAGATTTATGTGATCTCTTCGTAATTACAAAATCTGCAGCGATTTTACATTTTAATTCTGTCCAAGGGGTGGAAGTTGGTTANCGATTTTACATTTTAATTCTGTGCAAGGGGTGGAAGTTGGTTATCTATCACGGGAACGGGGTTTCGTATTTGGGCGGGGTCAATTGCAATGTCTGCTAGATCGACGTCTTCGACATCGTCGTCTTCTTCATTTATCTCCTGGCCGACTGGAAGTGGTGTATCTTCCAATGTTTTAGCTTTTACGAGCACTTGCCTCAGTTTATCTCGTATGTCTGTCGGCTTGAACTGAGGCACAGCCGCTTCTTTTGCTCCACCTATTAAAAAATTACAAACAAATATCACTTTCATCACCTTCGTTGAATCCTAAGTATCCTGTGACGAATTGGACAACCGCTCATCTTCTCCAAATTTACCCACCGTGGATAAATAACAAAAGGGTAGTGTGACATGAATAAGCTTCCTCGCTTGCACATAAAATAAATAGATAAATACAGATTTGAGAATTGCGTGAAACTTTTGAAGTAGGGGACATGTAACAGGGACAGTTCATTCCTGGAGACTTGAAACCGAATGGATGTATCGCGGGTGTGTACAAATATCCGACAACAAATCAATAAAATTTGCATTTTTTTGGAGAATTGATAAGAAAATGGCGATTAGATGATATACTACTCATCAATACATTCACAATGTAGTTCCAAAACCTCCTAGACAGGTAAATGCGGTTGACCGATTCGACGTACAAACAATTATTTTGAATATGTTCCAAAAATTCGGGTCGGAACTTGATTCCCGGGCTTTTCCGGAGTTTATGGCTAGAGCACCAGCGACATACGTACTTTCAATAGCTTCAGCCAGTGTAGGTGCGATTTTCGCAAACCCAATTTTTCCTTTGTTTTTCCATCCCAGTTAAGCTTTTTCATAACCTCAACAGTGAGGACCATGCGCATTACTGCCAAAGCGGTGTGCCCAGGCGTTTTACTAACCAGAGTCGTCATCCTTCCTTTCTGTTCACAATGAAGAAGAAATGTGGTCATTATATTCCAACACTCACAGGTGAGATGTTCAGGTGGGAAATAAATGGTTATTTTCGTCAACAATTGTTTCCCTAACACGTCATATAAAAAAGTGCAATTCCACGGATCGCCCGAAGATTTACAGATTCTCAATTTATAATTCTAATAATAACCAGGTAAATTTTCAAATGTTTTCATCCATTTCCTCGTACTTTGAAAATTTTGTACGACTTCTTCTTTTACTTCCCTTTTCCAATTTGGATCGCCAAAAATTGACAAATTTGCGTTTTTTGAGTAGAAGGAAATAACGTTATGCTGTGACTGCTTCCCAATTTCTGGACCATCTCAACGGTGATTAAAGCCTTCAGTCTCATAATAGCCTTCAGAGTCTTGAGTGGTAACTTGAAATCACCTAATTTTAGAGGCTCGACGGCAACAGGGGGACCGTCCGTAGCGATGCTCAATTGTCCAAGAATTCTACGAAGGAGTCTCAGTACTTTTCGCTGATAAAGTTCTGGAAAAATTGATTACATGAAATGACATTCATGTGCCATTGATCCACTGAAGTATAATCGGCGTTTAATGCCGCCCGCGCCGCTTTATTGTGAAATATTCTCGATATTCGGCTTTCTAGGTGTAGTTTTGGCGTCTGTTATATTCGATACTGGACTATAATACTTTAATACCCAAATTATTTAGAAACGTTATGAAAATGTGAGATTACACTAAGGGAATTAGTTTATTCGAATGTTTACTCGTGTTACTTCCTTGACTCATTAGTGTTGACCCTATTTGTAAAATCGTAGAATCAAACTTTGTATAAATAAAGATTAGAGTGAGGGTATATGTCTCGCATGCTAAACAAAGTGAGGGAAGAAGAGGGTGGAAAAAATTATGAACACGGAAAAGTTTCGTGAATTTTCCGTGCTCGTTGCATAATAAGATCAAACAATTAGTGTATAAAAAAATTAACCAGTACAGAAGAGTTGAGGATGATCTCCAGAGAATTATTTTCTTCCAAGGTCTGTGCTGGTTCACACGTCTGGGTGCCGCCATATTGCTCCCGCGCTTTACATGAAAACCGTGGCGCCCAGACCTGTCAGCCAGCTCGGTTAAACATATAAAAAATAGCTATTCAGCGGAGATCCTCCTCAAATTTTTTCATAACAATTCTGTACACTATATGAAGGTTAGAGTGTGCATGACTCACCGTTAGCTTCTTCCTTGGCAGCGCAGTCAAGGCAAGAATTTGAGCAAATTCTGCACTTCTTCTTCGGCGTTAATCCAGGTTCTAATTCTCTCAGTTCATCATCCGGTTCATTATCACGCTTTTGGGGTATACTGTCTTTTGGTTCAATCAATTTTTTACGTAAGCGGACCGACTGCCCACTAGTTGAAGGTGCGAGCAGGCTTTGATCGTGAACATCAGCTGCGTGGCCTTCCTTGTAAAGCTCGTTCACCAGATCTTTGGATCTTTGTTCACCTGTCAGCGCTGAACTCTTCTTTGATGATTTATGTGCAACTCCTGTGGATTCCATCGCTTCGAGATTCTCGGTGGCTTCGGATAGAAAACCGCTACCGTGATCTGGGAGCGCTTTCTCTCGTTTGTGGCAATCCGCCAAGGTTCCTTGTAAAAAGTTCGGAATATATTGGATTGCTGATATCAAATATAGACAGAATAAAAGTAAAAGCACATAGAATATATAATACTTATGTCTGAATTATGTGAATATAAATATTTACAAGATGGGACTTTTTTTTACGATTTGATGGATCAATTCTGAAGGAGATTCAAATGATAAAGGTGCTAACAATTGAATTTATAACGTACAACAACCGCCGACAAGAAGTTGTTGATTCAATAGCGAGTTATTATGTTTTTCAGTCAAGTTGTTACGTATTCGTATAAACGAAAATTATTTATTTTTCAGAAATGCAAGGAAACACGGATTTCCATGAAGTTAAGAACGAGATTCGAGATTTTTGGGAAGCCGAATGGAGTTATAGCCGTCGAGCGGCAGCCGACTACAACATGACTTGCCGTTACCAGGTTGAGTTGACATCCTCGATTTTGCGTTCACGGTAACTTCACGACTTAAATTTGGAGGATCAATCGATCTCCGGGTGTATCGGCTATTTTCAATTTGCTTACCACTTTTCCTGGATGCTTCGGAGGAAGATATTCCTGCTCTGCACTCGGATTATCGTCCTTCTCTAGGCCGAAACAACGAAAGCGCCTTTGAATCCACAGGTGGTCAGGAACGAAGATTCTCGTACGAAATATTCGAATAAAACTCTCAAATAAAATATAGAAATTCACTGGATACAGTTCTTTAAAATATATACTCTCGATCACTGATTCAATACTGAACACTTGAACGGAATAGAATTTATTTATTATTTTAAGGATTTCACGCGTCGGCTGCAGAAACAATCGACTAGAGCTCTATCGTCAGTCATTCTGAATCGTTATGATAATTCTTGTGGGGTTCTGAGTGGAGACAGCAGTATTTTAGCCGTCGGTGATCACTCGTCGTCTCGGCAAAATTATCGTAACAATTTTAACGAATGCCGAATGAATTTAGTATTCGGAATTTGTTTATTTTAAAAGGGATAGGGAAAATCAGGTGAGCCATTATCTGCGAGTGGACAGTCCAGGCAATAAAGCTACCCGTGACTGAAACTCGAAGACAATTAACTGTCTGACATTTTTCACTTTAGTGAAAATCGGATTAACTTGGCAAACTACCCCCTGTGCGGGAAAAGCGGCAAGACAAGTCACCAAAATTTCGACTAAGTGATAGCCGTCTATTTGTCAAGAAACCTTAGAATATCCATCCCCAGCCTAGAGGCCGCAGATGAACAATTCGAAGGATTTTCAACACTGACGGTGATTTCAAGGAAAACACCTTGTGCACTGAGTAAACTTCACTAAATTAATTTCACTGTGTTTATATCACTTTAAATAAAATGAATTGACAATTTTGTTAAAATAACACGATCAGTTCGCGGAGCTACTAGTCAGTTCTTTCTGCACGGCGGAAATCCAATCGATTTCAGTTTAATTGGGTTTATTTAAGTTTCAAAAGTATTTCTGTGTTTTAATATTTTATGGAGATCCAGAGGGGGGTTCCATTTTGAATAAAATGAACTTTAAGTTCCAAACTCCATGAGACTTGAACAAAATTCGGTGAAGCTTGCTATACGCTTATTACCGTTGATAATCGAAGTTATTAATTTACCAAGTTGCTTGAAGAGCAAGAGGATACCGTTCCGAACGAACGCGGAGAGACGACTGTTCTAAAGGAACAACGATAGGATACTTCTGTTCAGAAGGAACAGCTACGAAGTACTGACTACTACCGTAGACTGATGACTGCAGACTGACTGTTCAGAATGAACAGCTATGAGATATTACTGCTGTAGCTCCGAAATCTTTTCGTCTCGACTAAAAAGTTGCGCTCGACTGCGCAGGTGGTACAGGTGCACCGTGGTGGGGCCATAAAGCCAATAGGATGCTGGTATCCTCGGTGGAGAAGAACAGTTCCACCTCTTTTGTAGTTTTCTGTATGTAAGAGAGAGATAGTACATTGTTGTCTCTTTCTGTTGCATTGGCCATAATGCGTTCGGCTGCTTGCAAGTAAATTGCTAGTAACTTTGTAGTTTACAATGTTAAAATTGTGACAATATATCTGTTTTACATATAATTTTCTCTCTCTTTTGAAACGTCGATGACATCGATCGGACAATTTTTAGTATTTTTACGTTTCTTTTCAATTTTTCATTGTAAATTTAATTATTTTGTTAATATTCTTGATCATGATAAATGCCATTGTTTTCGTTTCATGTTTGAAAGAGTCATACAACTGCTGAGATCCTGAAATTTAGTCTCTTCTTGGAAACTCTGGAATTTTAGGAGATCTGACATATTTTCGCGAGCACTTTCCTCGTTGCCGCAGCTCCTCACTTGCCTCAACATGACGAGCCAACTCGTCTAAAATTTTAAGTAGTTTTGTATTTGCATCTGTGGGCTCCTTACTGGTCCCGAATTAATAGAGTTTAATTATTTAGATTTCTTAACCAGAAATATCGAGGTGGCAAATACTGTTACGCCCTCCCTACGATATATCTTTTCTCTTTTGTTCTTTTGTTAGCCTTGTTGAGACAAAATAGCAGTTTTCTCAGTTATTGCAGAGCTCGATCGCTCACAAATTTACTTTATTTCGCATTTATCGTTCACATTGAATGTATCGTGGGCTCCTTACTGGTCCCTAAATATTATTTCATTTATTATTTGTTTATCGCCGGCTCCTTACGGGTCCCTAAATATTATTTCATTTATTATTGAATTAATTCGATTATTTTTAGTTACAGGTTTGGATACCTAGCGGCGCTTCGAACGAGCATTACCGCAAGCAGCGAATGTCGTTGGGATAGTTGTGCGCACGACCTAACGCAATGTCATATAGTGACACATATTTTCTCTGAGATAAGTATTTTCAAAGTGTACATTTGTTAAGTTTCTAATGGACTTTAATTATTTTCAGCATTATTGATTTTTCTGAGGTCATGTTTTCGAGTGACAACAGGCTGTCAACGTATACGAGAGGAGTAAAATAGGTAGATATTTATTTATTGACTTTTTATATTTTTGATTATTTTTAAAGTGTTCTGTTCCTCTCCACATATTTTAATCATAAATTTTCATGATTTTACCTGCATTCGTTGCTTAGATTTCAATATATTGGCTTTTGTCGAAGTGACAGGTGAGGTTATGTTCCCCATGGTTCTGTTTTGACTGAGTTTATTTTGAATGTATTGTCATATAGTCTCTCAGTTTTATTGTTCATTTTATTGAACTTTCCATTTGAATAGTTATTCCGATTAATATTTCCTTTTCTCAAGGAGAGAATAATAGCTTTATTTGCTTACGAAAAATATTTATTGAATTGAGACANGTTGCTTAGATTTCAATATATTGACTTTTGTCGAAGTGACAGGTGAGGTTATGTTCCCCATGGTTCTGTTTTGACTGAGTTTATTTTGAATGTATTGTCATATAGTCTCTCAGTTTTATTGTTCATTTTATTGAACTTTCCATTTGAATAGTTATTCCGATTAATATTTCCTTTTCTCAAGGAGAGAATAATAGCTTTATTTGCTTACGAAAAATATTTATTGAATTGAGACATGTAAATTGTCTATATTATTTGCATTGTCATTCTGAAATGATAAATCTGATGTATTTATTTATTTACTGTTATTTTCTCCTTTTCCAGGATTATTATTTGGACATCAGAGTAACTGGCTACCTTGTGCGTAACTGTAAGTACGTAAAATTTTATATCCATATTTATTTATTTTATAAGGTAGCTGAAATAGAATATGTATTATTTCATGTAAATTGTAAATTGTCTATATTATTTGCATTGACGTGGGAAAGCTCTTTGAGGAAGGACACCAATGGTCTCTCGAGCTTTGGAAGGGAGTGCAGTAGTCATCAGGCATTTCTGGGAGTTGGGAAGCATGTCGATGCTGTACCTGGACACTCTGGATAGGGCAGGATAAGGAAGCATTGGGAATNTGGAAGGGAGTGCAGTAGTCATCAGGCATTTCTGGGAGTTGGGAAGCATGTCGATGCTGTACCTGGACACTCTGGATAGGCCAGGATAAGGAAACATTGGGAATGTGGTAATTACGTTAGTATGTTTTGTTATTTTATTTTCATTAATAGAGGTCATTGTCGTGTGTCTTTAGTCATTTTCTGGGAATGTGTTGTCGATAGAGCGATTATAGCTTGTGTCAGAGATTTCTATTTCATTCTTTATTTCTCTTTTTCAGGTAAATTCCTGTTTCCTGGAGTTTATGGGCTCTGATATGAGCAAATCAATATCATGCGTCATGGAGCTGGTGTTCAGCAAGTATCAGGATAGGAGTTGTTCAACTCTGAAGGATCAAGGATGCATGCTGGAATTTAAAGGCAACAGTTTGAGAGTGGTGAAATGTTTTTATAAAAATTATCTGTTATTTACTTTTGTGAAGATTCTCGTCATCAATTATATTTTTATCGAGAAAAATCTAATGAGACTGAGCTTCATAGCATAGATTAATAAAATGTTATTTAACTTTACATTTCTGATTAATTTGGGGGAGACCACGTAGGAATACGTGACATGCCCATGGTGGGAAAAGTTGCTTTTGTCTGTAAAACGACAAAAGCAACTGTAAAAGTTATTAATCTCAATTACAGTTGACTTTTGCAATTTTTGATTTTTCTGATGTGAGGTAGGAGTTGTCTTTTTCGGTGAATTGTTTGTTTCCTTTTGTGAATTTTTCTAATGGGAAAAAAAACTGGCAAAAAAAATTAGGGGGGAAAAAAATTCTGGTGAATTTTTGCCATAGGGTATATATATTACCCATGATGGTGTGAGATGAAGTTGCTTTTGTCTGGAATCGACAAAAGCAACTTGAAAGTCTTTTACTTCCAGTTGTTTTAATTGTTATATTTCTGATTCGTTTCAGATGAGAATTTGGCTGTCATGCTTCAACTAAGGAAGGATCAAACGTCCTTCATTGGAAATTCCCATTTCTGGTAAGGTTTAATTCATTTTATCAATATATCTTATAGTGAACTTTAGTTAAGGTAAATAGAAGCTTGTATAGTAGTAGTTATTTGTTAGTTTTTAGAGGTAGAGTAGTTTTTGTGTGACAAGTACGATAGCACGGTTTTGCATAGGGTTGAGCTTGTACGCTAAATTATTTTGATATGAAATCTGAACGATTTTATGTGTATTTGGTAATAGCTACTGTTTGGCTACGATTTTTAGATGCTATCTGTACAACTTAGATTTATAGTGGAGTCTATATATGTATATTTGAATAGGATCAACGCGTTGAATAAAATATTTAGTGTCGATAACGCTGTTTGGGGTAGTTTTGATGTATGTACATGTTTTTTAAAACTAATTTCCTTATGACCTAAGTAGGGGACCTCCAGCTCGTCACTTCTGGAGTATTTTATGACTCCAAACCCCAATTATAACTATGATTGGTGTATTAATAAAGTGTCAAGTTGGATTGAACCTTTTCATTGAGTAAAAAAATATAATCAAATTAAAAGAAAAGGTTAAAAAAAAGAGTTCTTGTTTGGTATAATTTTTGGAATGTTCATGAGAGTTCTTTGGATTATTTTTAGCTTAGATTAATTCACTTCACTGAGCGTTTTATTTTCACAACCCGGCACAACACTAATTTGTTTTTCGTTTTTCAGGGGGGAGGGGGGCAACCGTGGAGAGGGACAACTATTGCAGGTCGTCACTGAGAAGGCGTTCCATGTCTCTCCTCATGAGTTCATGGGTCTCCTTGGCATAAAGGAGTTCTCGTTCCATCCTCTTGATTTCTCGCATGACTTCTTTGTGCATGGAGTATGTATATCCTGATGATTCAGGGTCAGAGGGTGAGTTTTCGGGGTTCGTGGGGGTATTGGGGGGCTGGGGAGGGCTTTGGATGACTGCTGTCTGCCTTGTAGTCTGCCGAGTGTTGCTTCTGTTTGGGTGAGGGCTTTGGGTTGCTGCTGAGGGTTGCTGAGGGTTTTGGGGACTTGCGTGGGCCGTTGATCTTCTTGGGGTCTTCCCATGGGATGTCGGGACGTCCAAGTAGTTGAAGAGGGCTGCTGGGTGTCTTGAGCTTGCCATTTCAAGCTGTGGAACAAATTACACGTCGTAAGATCATGTTTTGTTTTCTTGATATTTTCGTGTGCAGACCATACATTTGCCAGGTATCGGGTGAGTTGCAGAAAGCTTCACTACATCTTCAAGCGCGCTTGTCCATGCCATGATTATAGAGATAGAGTTCATGCTTTTTTAAATTTTTAGCTTACAACTTTCGAAGTCCTCCCTGGGAATTGATGTTGCGTCTAGCAGCATCATTATTTCTTCCTCTTCTCCTCTCTCTATCATGAGGGGTTCTGCTGGTGGAGCTTGATGGACTGGTGGTGTCTGGTGTGATGTGGGTGCTTGCGCAGGTGGCAGCGGTTCTGGAGGTTGCCGGGCTTGTCCCTGAGGTGTCACATACAAGTCGTAGAAATTCCGACTTAGTGCCTCAGGTTCTAGCTCTTGTTGGGATTCTACTGGGACTGGTGAGGAAGAGGCTAGTGGTAGTGGAGAGATTGGTCTGGTTGGGGAAGGAGATCTGGATGGGCAGATTGAGCATGTTGAGCATGTTGAGCAGGATGAGTGAGGTGAGTAGGGTGCTCTAGGCCTCGATGAGCTAGACGACCCAGAGGTATCCAGGGTGATTGTCGGATATATCCTCTGGGGTCCAGGCTGTCAATGATGGGCCTGGCTGGGGTTCTGATTGGGCCGATGTTGATTCTGATGCTCTCATCTCGGGGTGTTTGGCATAGAATTTCCCTAGGGCTTCTGCGATTTTCTGCCTCCTTTGGGCCTCGTCCACAAAGGGTTTTCGGATAGCTGAGGAGGGTTGTGGATGGGGAGGTTGTTGAGGCTGTGGGATAAGAGAGTTCCGGGTTCTCTTGGGGAGAGGATCGAGGACAGGACCGTGCCTGTAGTTCAAATGCCAGCCTCTGCGTTTTGCTCGCACTGGGGCGACAACAGCTATTGGGGGGTTCATTTCGTGTTCCTCAGAGGCCCCTCTCTCAGCTTCCCTTGCGGGGACGTTTTCGTCTGGAATAATTCTGACGCCACTCTCATTGCCACTATTTGATCTCCCTCTTTTTGAGGGGCGATCGCTCTCGCTATCGGAGGATGATGGCCGCCTTGATGGGTTCATTTTCGAAAAATGTTCGATATTTCGCGCACCACAATTCTATTTTAAGTTTCTATTATTATTAGTACACTATCACTATATTTAGGATTCAATTTTTATGCACTAATAATTGTCTTTTTGAATACATTATTACAGGCTTAATGAAAATGATAGGGCACAAAGGGAGAGAAAGGCGTATGGGATGTCAACAACCACTAGTGGAAAGTGTGCCTAGACGCCGGTGACAGGGCGCCAGGGAAACAGAGTGGCGGTCGTAAAAGATCGCCCCTGATTTTCTAAGGGACCATTTTCATTGGTCCGGTTGAAAGGAAAATTCGGTGTAAGTATACCGTGGTCACACTATCGTAGTTATCACTTGTCAGTTAGACTATGTGTTAAGATTATTTGCTATATTTTAGGTGAATGACTTGTGCATAGGAATGTGAGGGATAATTATTTTTAAGGGGATTAGGGACAATAGGAATTTTCCATGAGTTTTAAGTGTAAGGTCAAGCATGTCAAATTTTTCTAGTTAATTTTAGGCAGGGATCGTTCCAATGTGCATGCTCAGATATTATTGAGGCGCTAAGAATTAGTTATTATTATGCGTGCTCTCATTAATGGCTGAAATTCTCTTGTCACGAGTCTTAAACTAATTATCTCGTAAAAAAAATCATATATTATGAAAAAAAAAGCTGGAATAGCTATTATTATTATAACTAGATTAATCTTAGTACTACTTCAGTAGATATTAATATTGCATTTCATGCATTGCGCTTAGTATGTATTATGAATTATGATTATGCTGTTAATTAATAATAAACTTGATGATTTCAGGAGTTGCTCCAACGTCTCGGCTGCATCCTGGAGGAAAGTTAAGAAAATAGAAGGGCTCAATAAATGTTAGGAGTCAACGATGCTCTCTGTAGTAGTTTCTGCCCTTGTCTGATGGTCTGCTCCAAGGAGTGGACTTCTTGAAAATGATTACTTGAGACTGGAGGTGAATAGTGAATTCTGCAATGTGTAGGAAAATGCGTTTAGTGAATAAGCCATGTAAATATGTGGGTAATGTTGAATTATTATTCATTTTCTTGTACACGGATTAATGCTCTTCTGGCTCGATATAATGAAATATAATGGATTAAGAAAATGAAATTTTTGAATAATGTTTTCTCTTACATCTTGTCTTCTAACTTTTCCTTTGACGACCGTATTCGTTTTCGATCTCTTTCTCTAGTTCTTCGTAGTGTTTTGTGCATCACCATTTGGAATCTCAGGTCTCCCATCCTCCTATCAATGAGGATCTTCCACGATGCTTGGCCTGAATTTTTCAATGAATCGATAATGAGGTTCCTCAGTCTATCGCTGTTGGCCTGGATTTGACTGACAGTGGCGTTCATCAGCTCGATCCTCGCCAAGCTCTTCGTTGTCGGGACTTCCATTTTTTTTTCTAGGTCAAATACTGTGTGAGTCTAAGTTTTTGGCAATTTTGGTAATACACGTATTATTGAAAGCTTGAAGAGAGAATGCAGATAGCGTGTGAGTAGTAGTTTGCGTAATTAGAGAGGCATAATTTTCAAGTAGTCGATTGTCTTTAAGGCGGCATTTATTTCTAGCTTCCAAGTTGGGTCGCTACCAGCAGAAATTTCAGTGATTTCTGGAACTATATTTGTCAGCACAAGGACTTGGGCATTTTCCCGTAAAGAGCGTTGAACCACCTGAATCTTCAAGGGTCCAAGGATCTCTTCAAGGTCTGTTTTGATGAATTGGGTGTCAACAGGTTCGTCTTTTTCGATTATTGATGTCAAGTACACCTTGTAGGCCAACAGGCGTTCAACCAACGTTCGTCTTTCAGGTAATGGGAGCTGTTGGGACAGCTGGAGGTGGTAGTCAGCCAGTTTTACGTTGCTCATTTTGACTTTAGATTTCTGTGAAATCATCGAGGTCTATGTAAAACAATTTGATTGGTTCTTGTACTAAGTGGTTAACAAGATAATTCGTGCTACATGTGCTCAAAGTGAGAGTTTAATTTGCTTAGAATTTTGCGGGATAGCGTTATAGAGATGGCACAACAGCAAAATAGAGCTTGCAACATCATGCTGAGAGGTCACCTTCTATCAACGATTTTTCCTTCTTCCGCTTAGCCTTTTTAATTTTCCTTTTCCCGTCGTGTTGCGCTTCTCCTTCGGTTTTTCTGTGCCAAATAATTCTGCTAATCTTGCCTTCCTTTACCCCATCATTTCTCTCCATTTCTCATCTCTGCTGCCATCCAGAGGGCAATGCTCCTTCCTTCTTCGCGTCCTGGGTAGTGATTCTTCACAGGGTATTTGAATTTTGGTAGGAGGTGGCTGTGGTTTTTCGGGGATTTTGGGAGTGGGGATATATTCGAAAGAGTGTAGGGGAACAGCTTGAGGATGGATTGGTTCTGGGATGTATGGCGAGGAAGGTCTCTCTCCATAGTGTCTAGGAGTCATTGGGAGTTCAGGGAGGTAGGGTTCATCGACCTGCGTCTCTGGAAGGCATTGATGGTCCCCTGAGGCTGGAGTCGGTGAGCTTTTGGAGGTGATAGTCGCTGTAGGAAGGGCACTAGGGGTTGAATCACTGCCATCTGCTTGGATGAAAGTGTGGTCAAATCTATGGTCAGCAATATCGATGGGCCAGCTTGATGGTTCCGGGAAGAAGTGGTTCAGTAGGTCCATCGTGAGGGGAAGGATTTTGCTGGAGTTTTCGGGTATTGATATGACTGGTATCTTGGGGAGTTTGTGAGGTGTCTGGGTTAATTTCCAGGAGGGTAGGGTCTGGTGAGATTGAGGTGTCAATTTCAAGAGTTTTGGGACGTTTGAGAGGTGGAGAATCAAAAGGCTGGTCCATCTTGCTGTGATCGTGACCCTAGTGTAGTTTGCTCTGGTAATTGTGGCGGGTCTTCTGAAGTGACGCTCAACTGAGCGAGACTTGCCGCTATGGCTAGAGCTCTGTTCTTTCTTCTGTTTCTGTGTTTGTTCTTTCGTTTCTTTTCGGGGTTAGTCGAGGGAGGCGTTTCAGGGATCATTATGGGGGTGATTGTTGTCGTTTTCTTCTGCGGTTTCGGGGCAAGAAGAGGCATCTGATCGATTCATGGCGGTGGCGGAGATGTAGGTTGGGCCTATTAGTTGTGTTGATGATGTTGATGTAGTGTAATCTGTTAATACTGTAAAATTCCGCTATGATAGCCAAGGTACTTGCGAAATGATAAGGACCATCACAAAATCGGCAACGGCAACACAATTGGCTGCTACTTTGGTACTGGTTTTAATATAAAATTTTAATGTACTCATTCTGGTTGTTAATTTCGAGCATAGAAGATAGGCATTAGGCAATGGATTGCGTTCATTCAATGTTTGTTATGGCTGAGTTCGATTCCACGAGGGAATGTTGTCTTTTTCAAAGTGCAGCAAGGAGTAAAAGGTAATATTCAGGGTAGATCCGCTGCAGTCGTAGCCCATGAGCCCTTCAATAATCGTCACTTTCCCCCATAGAGCTAGGAGGGACACTGCTGTCAGAGCTCGTATCATCTGGAAAAGTCGTCGTTGACATTTTTCTTCGCCTTTTATATACAACCATTGGGTACTCGCGTTATGGCTAAATTTTTACATTTAATTATCTTAATATTATTGAAAGAAAATTGATTAATTCTATTTGCTTATAATTTATTCTGTGACAAGAGGATTTTGCATTTTTGAGAGACGTAATTTATTGAAATGGACTTTTTTCCTTGTCCCTTTGTAATCAATGACAGCATTATTATTTGCTAGAATGTCTAGGACAACAAATGGGCCTTCGTAATGGTCTCCCATTTTTCCTTTACTGGGTTCTTTCAAAGCAAAGACTTTATTACCGGCACGAAAGTTTTGAGGATTTGCTTTCGCATCGTAATATTTCTTTGATCGTAATTTGGCTTTATGGAGATTTTGGCCTGCATTTTGTTGGTAATCATTGGTGCGGGTGAACAGCTCACGTAAATAGTCGCCGTATGTGGGATCGACTGGTTCAAAGATGGCTCTACTTGATGGAAGTCTAGCTAATTTTCCAAATACTAGTTGATAAGGGGTATATCCAGTGCCTTCATGCACACCAGTATTATATGCAAAAGAAGCTAGTTCGCATAACTCATCCCAATCTGTGTGGGCATTGGCGTATTGCTTGAGATATTCTGTGAGAACATGATGTGATCGTTCCAACGATCCATTGCTTTGAGGTCGATAGGTTGTGGTATGGTATCGAGTGATTCTAAATGTTTTTGCAATGTTTTTAGTTAAACTCGAAAGAAAATTAGACCCTTGGTCTGTAAGCATTGATTTTGGGGCTCCAAAATAACAAATAAAATTTTTGACTATAGCTGTAGCTATTTCACTGGAGTCACCACTTTTTAATGGAATTGCAAGTGAGTATTCAGTTAAAAGATCTTGAATAGTTAATATGTAAACGTTATCTTTCTTTGTTCTTTTAAGAGGACCGACCATGTCCATTGCAACTTTGTCAAAAGATGATTTAGGGGTGTCTGTTATCACCATAGGTTGTTTAGTTTTTACTCTGACTAATTTTTTTAATTGGCACTCACGACAGTTATGAATGAAATCGATCACATCCTGTCTTATGCCTGGCCAATAATAGTTTTGTCTAAGTCTATCAAAAGTTTTAGTGGTGCCTTTATGACCATGCATTGCGCTTGCATGATATTCTTGCAATATTTCTTGTCTATCTTGGGGTTTAGGAATAATTACTTGTTGGGTGCAGATTATTATTTTAATTTCGAGGCCAGCGAGTGTTAATCAAGATTTTCTCTACAGCGTTCCGTGGAATTTCATCAAAGAAATCGGTTTTAGCAAGACTAATTGATTTTAAATTTAATTCAATGACTACGTTATAAGCTGAAAAATTCTAAGAGAATTAGAATTTAGAGAGAAAAAATTTCCGCTTCACCCAGCCGGGAATCGAACCCGGGTCTCCCAGATACGCGCCGGGCACTCTTACCGACTAAGCTACCGGGAACCACAGAAATTCACTCTCAAATTCACCTCAAACACCGCCTAACCTCCTTTAGGCATTAAAGAATTCTAAGAGAATTAGAATTTAGAGAGAAAAAATTTCCGCTTCACCCAGCCGGGAATCGAACCCGGGTCTCCCAGATACGCGCCGGGCACTCTTACCGACTAAGCTACCGGGAACCACAGAAATTGCTAATCCATCGCGGATATCTTCTTCATTAATAAGATCTGATTTACGATTTTTCAATGGCAGAATGAGAATATGTTTCTTTGAATGGAGAATGACTTTGACTCGACCTAGAGAAACGTTACCAATAGGAAAATCAATTTTATTTAATAATTCGGTTGCTCCGTTATCTAGATAACGGAGAAGCACTAGTGCTTCTCCTTGAGTAGTAGTAAAAATCAAAAAATTATCCTGGCGGACACTCAGGCTGTCTCTGCATTCTAGCACTTGTGCAGAAATTATTCGTGTATTAGGGGGGGCATGCGCTCCTTTTTTCTATTATCAGGGTTTTCATAAGGAACTCGAGGTTGAGAGAGTATATCTTCGCTAGAATCACTGGAAGAGGAATCATTTGCATCATCATTCATGTCTTCATTCGTTTCTTCAGACATTTCTTCATGCATTCTTTCAGGCGTACTATCATTCATTCTTTCATCTGTATTTTCATTTGGACTTCCGTTTGTTTCCTCTCTATCCTCGTTCTCGTTTGAATTGTTTAAATCATTTGGGATATCGTTAGCGGGTGATACTAGTAGATTATCCATAACATTGGAAAAAGTTTCTAAATTCAATGTGCCACTACTGAACAATTCTTCATCAATCTGTTCAATAGTGTCGGTAGGACTATTTGAGAGAGGCGGATGGCCTGCATTGTCGCTTGAGTTTGCAACGTCGCTTGCGTTCGGACTTGCGCTAATACGTGATTTTATTTCAGAGTCAGCTTGGCTCGAATTGTTGTCGTGCTGAGAGTTGATGCTTTCAGGCTCAGCAAAAACTTGACCTGGAATCATCAAGCTTTCTTCACTAAGTTCGTCAGCTAAATCTGATATTTTGTTTCCCGTGTTATCGCTGGCATTTTTTTCATTTCCGTTCGC